GCTTGTCTTTCAGGCCTCCGCGTGACAGTTTCCGACGAACTCTCAGTTCCCAGGATGTGCGAGCTCGCACATTCGCGAGGATAGCATCTTCTACTGAGCGCATGAAACAAGCCTTGTGGGCTTCGCTGAAAATATTGTGTCTCCAGGCCTTCCATGCCTTGTCTTTAGTGCTCAATGCTGTGGTGCACTCAGGAGTCCACCATTTGGGGTCTGCTGGGCGGGTAACAAGCTGCTTGGCGGGGATAAATTTCTGCATGCCACTGGAGATGACGTCACTTAGCTTCCTGCAGGACTCTTCAGGGTCGTCAGTCACAATGGTGGACCAGTCAGTAGTGCGATAGAAGGCCCGCAGGCGCCCCCAGTCTGCCTGATTGTAGCGCCAGACAGTCCTGGAGGTAGCTTGCTCAGCATCAGGGGTGAGGTAAAAGTCGGCAAGAACAACCCCATGGTCAGAGCGACCAAGTGGCGCTTTGACAGTGGTGTCGATAGGAACGGGCATGTTGGAGAGGATGAGGTCCAGGGTGTTCAGACCCCTAGTCGGCTGCAAGACATGCTGGTGGAGTTGATGCTCAGCACACAATTCTTCTAAGGCCTCTCCAGCTACAGTTGTTTTGCTGCTGCAGAGCCAAGTCTCGTGATGGACATTAAAATCCCCAGCTAGCACTATGTGAGTGCCGTGAGTGCGGGCCACGTCTAGTGCAGGTCCAAGATACTCAATCAGACAGGTGTCGTTGTCCGCACAGGATCCAGGCCGATACAAGGCACCGATAACAACAGATTGTTGCGTGGAAAGACTCACGGCGAGCCAGAGGACTTCGTGGTCATCAGTGGGAATCTGGTCGAGGTGCACTACTGGGAGGCCGGACTTCACCCATACAGCAATGCCGCCACCAAATGCATCCCGGTCACGTCGGATGGGAGGCGAGTATCCTGGAAATATTGTCTCAGAGGCTACGGTCTGGGTCGAGAACTTCGTTTCTGTGATAACCGCTATGTCGACGTTATCGTTGAGCAGTGCATGCTGCAGCTCTCCCAGCTTGTTGGTGAGGCCAAATGCATTGGTCACCAGCCAGCGGAGCGGCGGAGCTCCACTGATCATTGCGGGGTGCCAGCAGATGCCGTGCTGTCGCTGTCAGCGCTGTCAGCACCCTCCATGTACATGTCCACGGCCACGTCAGCAGTTTTTATAGTACCGGAAGGAGTTCCCACGATGTCTCCAAAGGCCTAGAGCGGACGTCTTTGCAGCAATTCTTTTCGCCCTGCGCATTCAGTTCGCCGACGATGTCTCCAAAGGCAAAGGCCTAGAGCCTAGTAGAGGGGACGTCTTTGCAGCAATTCTTTTCACCCTAGACTAATACCCTGCACATTCACTCCGCCGACACGACAGCGTTTACCATGGTTTACGGGGCCGTTCCAGGTGCAAAAGGTCCACGTCAGCAGTTCTCAACTATTTCGCGTACGGGATAGTCGCCGCGACAGCGTTTAAGGGGTCGTTCCAGGTGCAAAAGGTATCCATCAATGGCACTTTGCAGTATGGGGTACGGAAAAGGGGCCTCCTCGTTCGACTTCGTCGACTTCTAGTAATTCTGCAGTTCTCCTTCCCGTCAGGGGTACCGAAAGGGGCCTCCTCGCAGTTGTCCTTGCCGTCAGGTCCACGTCATGCAGTTCTCAACTATTTCGCGTACGGGATAGTCGTCTTTGTCGTACGCGACATCGGCGTTTACCGAGTGGCACAAAGCAGACCGTTGACGGGGTCACGTGTCAAAGAAGTATCAACAATGTGTCGACTACGTGTCGACCACGTGTATAGCGGTACACTCAGCGGTACACTAATTCTCGTGCCATTCTCGTGTCACAAAACTGGAACATCGAGTACCAGTATAGAAAGGCTTCAGACAGGAAGCCTTTCCAATACCGTTACAACATAACGTTTTTTGCTAAGGGTGTCTATTGTTTCGAATTACCGGTATTGGTGTGTGTACATTGTATTGGCTACTGAGGGTAGCCATGTGTCGGCTCGGAGAGAGAGCGTGCAGGAGGAGAGGAGGAGTGCTTGTTGCGTTCTTGAACAGCCGAATAGTACCGTTCAGGGTAAAGGTATAGTTTAGGGTCCCAAATTATTTTAGTGGGTCAGCATGCTCTACAGAGTCCCAGGCATGCACATTACACATACATAGGCCTTGGCCACAACTGACATCGAATACGATGTGGATGGACAACCACTGGTGTATGCAAAATCACCTTACGATGCGAACGAAGACGGCGCAAAGGACCATGAAAATTGCCTGAGTTTGAAGCTCGGTGATGCCGTGCGTGTCTTGAACACCTCCATGGGCAAGGGAAGGTGGTGGGTAGAAGTCAAAATATTCGTCGTTCTGCCAGGAGGCTTCCTCCGCGCCGCGCAGGTCATCCTCAGTGCCAAGGAATGATGATGGAATGTAGCCAGACTTGCCATCGACTTCTACCCACCACCATCCCTTGCCCATGGAGGTGTTCAATACATGCACGGCATCACCGAGCTTCAAACTCAGGCGATTTTCATGGTCCTTTGCGCCGTCTTCGTTCGCATCGTAAGGTGATTTTGCATACACCAGTGGTTGTCCATCCACATCGTATTCGATGTCAGTTGTGGCCAAGGCCTATGTATGTGTAATGTGCATGCCTGGGACTCTGTAGAGCATGCTGACCCACTAAAATAATTTGGGACCCTAAACTATACCTTTACCCCGTTCAGGACTTTATGGTTATGATTATGTACAAGTATTTGGAGTAATGTGCCATTTCAGTGCCGGTCAGTTTTAATACTGCAAGGTGCAATGACTGGACTAGACATTTAGAGGCTGGTTCAAATGCAGAGATAGTCGGCAAGTGCAGCGTTGCTGGTGCTACAGTAATACAGGTCGTCCCCCGTTAATACGAGTCCGGTTAGTACATAAACCCCGTTAGTACATAAGAAATCTCAAGTCCCGGACGAAACGTGGTCACTGCCATACAAATTTTGTCGGTTAGTACATAATTCGTTAGTACATAAACCCCGTTAGTACATAACATTTCTCCGTACCCGCATGCCACCTACCTCAATAGTACATAATTTGTTGTTCTTTTGGCCTTCCAGTGGAGGCCCATTGTGTTCTAGTTTCTACTTGTGGACGCAATTAGCTCAGAAATCAGAGCGCACATCACAAACCGACAAAGCTCTGTTGTTTTTTCGAGTGACTGTACAGGCGCCGCTGGGCATGTATCATGTAAACTGTAGAATCTTCACTGACTGTGACCGTTATAACATAATTTTTATGTTATATCGAGGGAATCAAGAATATCTCGCGGCCTAGTCATGGCAGCAAGAAACACTCAGAAAAGTTGAAAAAAGTGAAAAATTCTGGTATACAAGCAAGTTATGTACACTGTCGTTTAGTACATAAACCCCGTTAATACATAACATTTGTCAAGTCCCAGAGATTATGTATTAACGAGGGACGACCTGTACCAAGAGTCCATAAACAGTTTATGCACTCTTGGTACTGTAAAACGACAAACTTTCGCGAGCGATTAACTTTCGCGACTTTCGCGAGCAGGGTCGAATCGCGAAAGTTTGACACGCGAATATGAAATTTGTACTACGCGATCGATGCGTCGATGATCGATCGTTTTGCAACAGATCTGTACAGTACGAGTAGGTCTACGTGCGCGCGCATGTATCACTCACTGCACTGACTGTACATAATCACAGCGCCGCTGATCGATGCTTGCACGGCCGGTTATGTCCAACCAAAGAGCGCAGCTGTTGCAACGACGGGTTACGTACCAACACCAGTCATGCAAGTAACAAACATTAGTTGTCGTTGGAGTACGGCGACTTGAACACGAAGAGAATAAAACGATCGACTGGAGAATGTCTCAGTGTTGTGGAAAGTGTTGTTGAACTTCTTGGAGCGTTTGACCAGCTTGCTGTTGCGTAGATTTTAGTGTTGTACTGCTCGAAGAAGTCTTCTGAATTTTATCGCGATGAGTATCGCAGTGGCTCAGCAGTTTGAAGAGAAAGTCTTCCGATGATCCCTCTTCGAACGTGCCATCCTTTCTCTCAGTACTAGTACTTACCTTATGGTTCTCTTTGATGCCTTGATTCCTTCTTACATTCCTTGATTCCTTCTTTCATTCTTTGATTTCTTCTCTCATTCTTCATGCACTCTGCGCCCAGCACTCCGAGGCTTCGTAAAATAAAATTCTTTGATTTTCGGTGGAAGGTAAAAATCGCTAAAATTAATCGCCGCTAACTGGTCCAGTTTTCCAAAACGCTAAATTTAGCCGCCGCGAAAGTTTGTCGTTTTACAGTAATACTACTAGTACATGATTGTATTGCTTGTTACTTATAGTGCCTGACTCGACTCGAGTCCTCGTGGTCACAATCAATAATTATTATTATTACTTTCATAGCCTAAGGTTATTCTTCTCTAGGTCTTTCCTTCGGCATTCCCTCATTGTATTGATGCGTCCTACTACTTACCTGTACTTAGTAGGTCTACTACTAGTCCTAGTCCTAGAACGGCCCAATCGAAACTTACAGGTACTTTCCAGGCGAAGCGCCAGCACCGAAAAAGAGCCCTAAAAGTTGCACTTTTATTTTCCAAATCCGACCCCAGGCCCGGGAAATTTGAAACTCAGCTCAATATCGCCAAAAAGAGACTATTTTATCCCTTGCTCACAAGAGCTTCCCTGGTGGTATCGTCTTGTTCCGAGGCAATGTTTGGGAAGGTGCGGGCATTAGCTGCCCTAAGTTTCGCGGAAAGCTCCAAGCGACATCATTTTCCTCGCTTTCTCGCCAGAGTTTTCAAGACCGACGCAACTCGTCGTCAAAAAGTACTCAGCGTGGATTTCGTGCCGAATTCCGCCCCAAACAATTTAGGCTGACCTCTCGCCACCAATCGAACCCACTGATATGTATCTACCTATACACGAGCAATGGTTTGAGCCCAAAGAAGGACAACTTCACAACGAGCACACTTTCTGAGGGTAATATTTTCTATGTATATCAGTATTAGAACACCATCAAGACGACAATTTGACCAGCAGAAAGACATAAAGTTGCACTACAAATACAGCAGCTGTATAAACATAAATAATTGAACAGAAAACTATGTAACTGGATCCCACCAAAAACAGTAAAGCATCCCAAATAGTATGCGAATACACATAATTATACATGAAGGAAGGCTATGTTGCCACCATACACTGGCTACGCACACGGACATAATTCTGGAGAGCTGAGCATCAGCGTGCGCACACCCCCATGGCCCCACACACACATCTGCATGCACGCGCGCACACCCACACATGCGCATGCACACGCGCGCGCACACCCACACACCCACATATACACATGCACGCGCGCACACTCCTGCCCTGTGCTGTCGAGCCACTGCCACAAGGGTTGCGTGGGCCTCGAAGGCACCGGAGAGAGAATAGGAGAACGCAGTCCCAGAGATACACGCGCGCGCGCGCGCGCACACACACATACACACACACACACGCACACACAAAAACACACACACACACACACACATGTACACAACACGTGCAAGTACACACGTGGCAGTTTACTACAAGAGAACCACACAAGTTCACATGTGGGCATGAACTGTATTCACAGTTGGTCATACTGTCTTGGGCATATGAGGGAGGGGCAGGAGAGTGAGTACGTGACTCAGACACAATGCGCTTCGACATGCTAGCACATGCACCGGTTTCGGACAGTGGCCGAACGTGACGGAGAGAGAGAGAGAGAGAGAGAGAGAGAGAGAGAGAGAGAGAGAGAGAGAGAGAGAGAGAGAGAGAGAGAGAGAGAGAGAGAGAGCACCAGCGTTCCAGCTCAAGCTCCAAATTTCTAGTTGCTTCTCCTGGTCACAGTAAACACAGAACAGGGCTCAGGCAGTGCCGAGGAAATGCTTGTACTTGGTGCAGTGTCGTGAGCAGGATAAACTTCCAACATCTCTACACAGTGTAGCTCTTCAGGCGCACACGAAGACTCAGAAACCGGAATATACTTTACATGATGATTGAAAGTCCAGCAGCACAGCAAAACTTCCAAGGACTGGTTTGGCACTAGCTTCCGTCTCATTGGCGTGTGCCCAGCCAGTTTTGGAAAGAAAGAGTAGACGTTCATTCCTCGTTCAACCTGCAATGAACTGGAGACAACACAAACCAACAAGACGACGATGGTTGTCATCAGCTCATGTGTTCACCACCGCAGTGCTACCATTCACTTTCCTGCTCCAAATGCACTACCAGGCTGCATGGTACTACTGTCATGGACATGGAAATCCAGTCGCACATATAGCGGCCCCAGGGCGCTGGCCATGCAGCCGTAGCACGGTTTATCATGCGCTGCTGATGGTCGCATTGGATCAACATGTGCACTGCATGCAACGTTCTGTACGCGCTGAGGGCGCCGGCCCCGGTCAATCGACTGGATTTCCATGTCCGCGACATGACAGTACGTGTCGATAATAGACCGTGATTTGCATTTTCCAATGATTAGGACTGGTATTATTTCTATTTTTCACACTTAGAAAGAAAACAAGGGGCAAGATTTGATATGGATTATGTGGTTGTTGGCTATGTCACCATTTGAAAGAGGGTTGCAACCGTGATAGCACTGTAACATGAGTTTAAACCTACGTATTGCATGGTATACTCAACAGTTGGCGAGCAGAGAATTTCGTGCCGAATTCCGCCCCAAGGTTGTGCACAGCAAACAACTTGATATAATCATTAGCCCTAACCTTGTGCTATACGTACCCGTTGTGCCGATCGAGCCTGAGCCCTCCACTCGACTCCACGGTCCAATGACATTCGGTCATCATGGCCAAATTCAAGTCACTCAAGTGTTGAGAAGTGTCTACGTCGTCGCACACGGCATGTGTCGACATACAAAAATATGTATACGATAGAGAAAGAACTACTGAAGAGCAACCAACTGGTTTCAGCATTCTCCTTCAAAGGATAGGTCAGTGGCAGAGGACCAAAGCCGGACAATAGTTGGAAATTCTCAGCGTTGAATTTCTACAGTCTGTAGATACTAGGAAAAGCTCGATTTCCCGCCACGGAAAATAAAAAAGTCTTGATTTGGGGTGCTGGCGCTTCGCCTGTTTCGACGGTCATGTGGCGGAGTTTCGGGGTTTCCCCATCAACAATTTTTACATGCTTTACAATGCATTTTTCTACAAAGGGTGTACCGCGTGTGCTGGCGAGTGACTGGTCGACCGACCCCAGATCTCAGAACGTCCCGCGCAATCGAAACGTTTCTGTAGTTGTCATCAGCCAAAAGGCAAAAGTCAGGCTCTTTGTTATTGCTCTTTGGCTGTAGCTCTGAATGCACGACATGTCGACATGGCTTGCCTGTACTGAGGGGTCTGTAGGGAAGGCTGCGGTCTCAAGCGCCACATGCACAAGTCTTAGCTGAGCAGGCGCGCACTACCACTACTAGTACTAGCAGTACTAGTACTACCATGTACCAGTGAGCAGAAGAGGAAGTAGCTCAAATGTAGTGTCAGTGAGTTACCCGTAGTTGCATCATGGATGCACCCTCATGCCATGGCCTCACTACATGTAGAGCATGGCCTCAGTCAGCGAAAAGGTGATCGTGAGCGCTACGACTACGAGTACGACGTTTGTACATGTATTGTAGGTGTAAAAGTAAAAATCAGGCATCAACACGCACGGACCGTGCTGGTAATGACTATGTCTATGGTCGCGCTGTTGCTCGCGATCAGCGTGAACTACAACTAACAAGGGAAGTAGTTCCTCGATCTTTAGGTGCTACATGTAGTGCCGCCGCGCAGTGCGCATGCACAGGATTCTACAGGAGGCGTACAAAAGTGGAAACTAACTTTGGTTTGATCTAGCATTTTAGGAGTCTACAACACAAGTACAATTACACAACGGAATCTGACCAGGTCGTAGTAGGTTATTGTAGATCTACCGCCCTCCACGCAGCTGGAGCTGGAGTCGGTGCACAATCATAATCAACTTCAAGAAGGTCTACTCCGTCCTTTTGACCCGCGATCGGTGTACGTACAAGCTCTAGACTGGGGACAATAATGCTGTAGACTTGGCGAGCTAGCTCTGCTTCCACCAATTATTTGTAAACTGGGACACAACACACAGCGGCTATGTGTCCGTCGTTGTAAATCGGCCAGCTTCCGACATGCTTGCGAAGCCAGAAGAAGACCATTACTAGCATCGTTCACGTTTTGCGGCTGTCCATTCTGAGTGCCCCCAACCAAGGAGTCGTGTTTGCACTGATGCACACCGCACACTCTGTGCAGCCCTGACCTGCGGAATCAACGCCTACTACGCGGTCGCAAAGGTAAGGGCACTCCGAAGATTAAGAGTCGGAGAACCTCACATGCAAAGAATACTAGTCTTATTACTGTGTATAGGTTTAAAGGGGAAGTTAAGGCAAAAATTAAAATTTCACCAGTTGTAGTCTTCGGGGTGCTGAGTCGAATGGCCTTGGTGGCGAGAAAGCTGAGACGCTCCCTTCCTACTTGAATCCCAATCGAACTCGCGCACTTCCACCGAAACTGGGTGACTGCGCCCTACTAGATGGGGATTTGTATGCAAAATGTCACTAAAAGCGCCATTTCGTTCTTATAAAAGCACGGATGACCACGATTGGCCCATATGTTGTAGTCTTTTGGACGCTGAGTCGACTGGTTTTGGTCCGAAAAGGCTGCGATGCAGCGTTCGCCCCTAATTCCCAATCAAACATGGTTGAACAAGCGGTCACGTGCTCCTGCGTACACCAGTCACCTGGTCACCGTGCCTGCAGGGTACAACTTACAGCCTGTTTTGACCTTTTTTGGGTGCAGTCCTGTCACTCGAGTTGAACCTTGGTGTGAAAGTTGTCGCCTGCTGGCGTGGTGACCAGGTGATTTTGGCACCCAGGAGCACGTGACCACTTCTTCAACCATGTTCGATTGGGAATTAGGGGCGAACGCTGCATCGCAGCCTTTTCGGACCAAAACCAGTCGAACCAGCGTCCAAAAGACTACTTCCTCCGCGTCATTAAAATTTTCGCTTCCCAGAGCGATTTTTCGAAATTATTTTGTCCGCTCAAAGGGCAAAGAAATCAGCTAGAAATTGAGGCAGATCATTGTCGACGGACCAAGCTTTAGTTTGTGCCCCCCCCCCCCTGCTTCGCTGCACTTGCCGATAAGTTCGACGTCTTCATCAGAGTTTGAGGCAGACCCTTCAGCACTCAACAATACGCTGAACAAGACGCGCGTTCAAATTCAGGTCATGATACTTCGTTTTCAAGCGATCCATGCCTCCAGGTGGCAGGCGATGAAGGCAAGCTAGCATTTTTCATGTACACTGTAACGACCTTCCAGCGGGATAGGGCAAGCAGTTCCACACCTTCTTTCCTTGGCAAGCGCTTCGCTGATTTTGTTGGTGTTTTCAGACCTGCTACCTTCGCAGCAACATGCGCCACAAGTAGCGCATTTTAGGAATTTGAGACCACTTTGTTCTTGCCATCGTCACCTTCAGCAGTTTGTATTCAGGAGAGATACCAGGATTCTTATACCCGAGCTTGCAGTCTTGACAAATGCCCACGCAAACGATGTGGGACGGCACAAACTCCAGAAAATGAAATGCGCTCTGGGGCGGAATAATGCGGAGCGCGATAAACTTGCTTGTTGCGGAAGAGAGCTCCGACAAAGTTCGTGACCACCACGGCTTCAGTGACAAGTAGACATTGCGCAGGAAGGGTCATACCAGTGTTCGAACACAGAAAACAGCGATTCCGACAGTCTGACTAAGACGAGCCAAGTCACAAATATTGCGATGTGCGAAGCGACAATTTTAATGACGCGAAGGAAGTACAACATATGGGCCAATCGCGGTCATCCGTGCTTTTACAAGAACGAAATGGCGCTTTTAGTGACATTTTGCATACAAATCCCCATCTCGTAGGGCGCAGTCACCCAGTTTCGGTGGAAGTGCGCGAGTTCGATTGGGATTCAAGTAGGAAGGGAGCGTCTCAGCTTTCTCGGACCAAGACCATTCGACTCAGCACCCCGAAGACTACAACTGGTGAAATTTTGATTTTTGCCTTAACTTCCCCTTTAACACACCAAGCTACAATGACACGGAGAGGGTAGTACATGTTGGCCAAAAAACCCCGCTGTGCTGCTAGAGCAGTAGAGGTGAAGGTGTAGCTGTTCATCAAGTGTCTACAGTCCTTTCATAAAAATATGGACGTCTAGCTTTCGGCTATAAATGGGTCAAGCTTTGAGTTTTTCTTTAGAATTTTTCTGCAATACCCCATGGAATCTTCTTCCAATTATTTACGGGAGCTTGCCTGAGCCAAGGCCCATCTTTTTTTATGAATGGACTGTAGAACGAAACTTCAACAGAAAATTTCAAAACAAATCAATAGTTAGGGCTACACTTTGAAAGGTATGAAAGCCACAGGCGCTGACATCTCTATGCGGCAACATCGCAACTAACTATTAGTACCTAATCGCTTGACTTATTTGAGGTTTGAGGTTCAGGTGTTTTCCAGACTGGATTTTCTTGTTCCGGTCATTCGGGTGGACTTGAAAGTTGAAGTGCCGCACTGAAGAATGATTCTTTCACAGCTAGTGTCCAGTACTGACAGTATGTAACGGCTAGCACAGCGCTTCGCACCCCCCCCCCCCCACTCCCTAAACGGATTCCTACAGACAGCAACCCCCCCCCCCCCCCCAGTTGGCATTATCCGGACGCCCCTACAGTCCATTTCAAAACTATAGACGCGCAGTGTTTTTGAAATATTTCAAATTTGGCTGGAACTTTTTGAGAATAGTTTTCGGAATATTGCTCAGGTCCGCTCCACAATTACTCTCATATAGTTTCTAAACGATTGGATAACAGACGCCCAATTTGGAAAAAATTATGCACAAAGTGATCACAGATTTTATGTGGTATAGATGCTGGCATAACGGTTTTTGCCTAAGTGCGCGTCTATAGTTTTGAAATGGACAGTAACGCTGGCATGTCCCCATATACCGGCACCTTCCTGACTTCTCTAGCGTCACAGAAATAATAATAATTGGCTTCTGAAGGAAAGTACTGTTCTTCACACGTGACTGGCTTGCAACGCAGTACTTGCAAACATTTTATATTCTGCACGTACGTACTTTCCGGAGCATTGTGATAGCTTGCATGCCGTCCTACCGGTAGGACCCAAGAAATCAGGCTGCAAAAGTGCCTTTGGTCGAGAATTTTCTTGAAACAATCGTTGAGGTGAGGTCTTTGTAAGGCAAAGCAATGGCGCAAAATGCAAGACTATATCCTAGGAGTGAACGAGTGCCAAAATTGAGGACTCGTGTACTCTTTGAAAAGACGAGCGAGTATTCGAGCGAGTACGAGTATTTTACTGACAACTTAAAACAATGCACTGCACACATTCTCGTAACGCCGAACGTAGTACACCGGATACACATGACTGTATTCCTTGCATGTAGCCTAGTGCAGGAAATATAGTCTGAGCTACTGTCTTTTGCTGGTAAGTAGGGACAAGCAACAATTTTGCACTTGCATGGGCTATCAGTACCGGTCAGAGTGACAGAAGTGCTTGATGTGTATGCATACAGTACACTGTACACAGGATACTTCGAGTATTTTGCGAAACGAGTACTCGCACGTTTCAAATTTTCGAGCGAGCGCTCTCGAGTATCCGTTATACTCGTCTCACCCCTACTGTATCCTGTACACAGCATATGTGCAATGTTTTTCAATTGTCAAAATGGCCGCACATGCTACTGTCGGAGCGCTAGAATTTTGACCATGGCACATCGATCGTGGTGAGGACCTAGTGTTTTTCTCAGCCTACCATGGCCGTGGAATACAAAATTCCATACTCTGTTTCCATGGTTACCATGGGCTGTTGCCATAGAATTTCATATTACGCTTTGTACGATCACGTCTACAAATTGTGGAATCCTTCATTAGCCCCTTTAGCAACAGTTTAGGATCAAGTTTTAGGTCAATGTGCGAACAGAGACCGGCGTACAGCATGTCTGTGTATGATGGTCCTACCAGTAGGACCGAGGGCTATGCAAGCTATCAATAAGCTGTACGCATATTGTGCCACGAAATGCAGAATATTCACCCTGTTCATCACCGTTCATTTTACCATCGTAGTTCAAGCCAATGCATTGACTTGTTTTGGTTGAATTACTGGTGTTTTAGAAATGCAGCTTCTGCTCGGGAAAATGCGGTAATCAATTTCGTGCATGATGACCAAACACTACCATCCGCTGACATGCATGTACCGGCTATGTGTAGTAAAGATACAGTGAAACCTGTCTAAGGGCGCGTTCGAATTGTCTTCATCAACTGTTCAAACAAATTTTATAAAGAGATTAGTTGAAGTGTCCCATTAGATTTCTATCATTTTAGAGTTTTCAGTGGGATTGTCATGGCAATGATGACGTCCGATCAGATCGACCATCTCCACGTACAACGTGACGTAGCTATTCCAAACTCTTCGAAACTAATCCACCTCTCCCATCGGGTGAGGTTGTGGAGTTTCGAGGAGCTTCGTTTTTCTGAAGAGGCCAATAAGGCCACCTCTTCAGAAAAACGAATCTCCACGAAAAGTCAAAGAGTGACGATTCGAACGCGCCTTAAGACGACCGCTCAAGGGACCTTCAAAAATGTGATCTCAGTTAACAGGTGGTCTTCTTTATCCAGGGTCATTTGACTGGAAAAGCATCCCTTGATCCTGGTTTCAGTCGTCTTCTAGGGTAGGTGGTCGCCTTATCCGAGTGGTCGCCTTGACAAGTTTTACTGTACTGCTGTTGCGGACATTGAAGTCCGTTGAGAAGTCAAGCAGCCACGGGGCGCTGGACTTGCATCCGCTAAGCACTGCTGGTGGTCCATTTTTACAGTGTGTATGTGAACTACAGTGTATATACGAGCTAAAAGGCGTTTCTAAAATGGATTCCACTTAGGGGCCATCCGTAAATATAGATATTTATTTAGGAGCGAAAACTAGTCGTTTAGGGGGGAGGGGAGCGCCTGTTTGTTTCTCGAAAAATGTCAATGCACATTTTCCATGCGTGAGCATGTCCAGAAAAAAGACCAAAAATATCGATACTAGTATGTACCATTTGTATGTGTTCGTTTCTCAGGGAGAAACGACTAGTTTTCGTTTCTAAATAAATATCGGTATTTACGGAAGGCCCCTTAGAGTAAAAATTCCACAGCACCAGGTAGACCGATTTAACCAACCACTGCTGTCCCTCTCACCAAAAGTCCATAATCCCCCAGAGGGATGGGGTTGTGGGACGGCGCAATCCGTGATGTACGTCATTCTTGGGTTCGCACTTGCGTCATTCCGTCGACGAGACCCAGACCCAAACACACTTCCCCTACTCATGATGTCGCACTATGACGTGCAACACGGATTTCGCCGTCCCAGATCTGATCAGTGAAGTTGCGCACTCTGGGCGATTGTGGACTCTTGCTCTTCTGTTACTGCTCGCAGAGTGAATACTGCGATGGCAGTCGCAATAACTGAGTTCATTGTAGCTGGCATGTACACCGTCTTTCACTGTCACTGACTCTTCTACCTTGCTGCCTGGGCTGGCGCGCGCGCGCGCGCGCGCGTGTGTGTGTGTGTGTGTGTGTGTGTGTGTGCACGTACATTCGGGTGCGTGCGTTGTGCTATTCTAGGCTGCATACACACCTTACCCACACACTTGCACAGTGGTGTGTGTTTGTGTTGAAGAGCTGGGCCGTGCCGGCAGCTGTACGCAAACCCAGAAGAGCACCTAGCTCGGAAGCACGATCAACGGCCAAAGCACATGCATTAAGGTACGGAGTACTATGCCGAATAGCTGCAAGTATGTGGCAAGTTGATTGACACAGCATGACAGCTTTTGTGCATGCAGTATCTTTTATAATTCCCTAAGCTATGCAAAAGACGGTACGAATGGTAGTGTCTGGCGCTAGCCAGGGTCTGCAATGCTTTATTGCGTATCTGTGTGTGTGTTTGTGTGCGTGTGCTTATGTGCGTGTGCTTATGTGCGTGTGGGTGGGTGTTTATGTGTATGTGTGTGTCTGTGTGTCTGTGTTGTTGGGCCGTCGTCATGTGACGCACCATGCCTGGTGCTCTAACCCGTACATTTCCCGTACCGTGCCGTCCGAGAGAGCTGGCTGCCATCGTTCATCCAAATATTCAAATAAGGGCTTTTTAATGCCAGGATCAGAAACTCATAACATAAAGCAATTTGGTAGAATGTGCATGTATGCAATGTGTATCGACTCCACCATCGAGGGACTGCATGCAGTTCATCAGTGCGGGTTCAGATCCCATGTTAGGTGATGAAAAAAAGCATGAAACGACTTTAGTCGGAGTGTGTGTATGTGTGTGTATGTGTATGGCAGGGGGGGGGGTCAAACAAAAATAGTTTGTTTCGTGAGAATATATCAATACTTACTGACTGCTCCTAAACGAGGTATCTTTTTCTAATTCTGTACGTCTGCAGGATTGCAGCAGCAAGTGGTTGTGGGCATCAGCTGTTGGCACCATCCAGAGCAACACAATCACTCTGAGAGTAACTTCTCCCAGTCCACCATCACCAGTCCGATCTCTATGCTCTAGTGGTTCGTGCGTGGAGCATGCTGCCACGTTGTACTGGTGCGTCATCGACGTGAGTGAATACCAGACGGCCTCTCTCAGCAATGGCTTCAGTACTGCGCACGGCCGATGATGGCGGCAACACAGCCCGTCGCCATGGCAACTCACCAGGTACAGCAACCATGGCACCGAATGACGAGTTATGCAGACGGTTACTGTCCGGTTGCAGCTGGCTGAGCGGCAGTGATGCCATAAACACTGTTTTCTTACCTCGGCGATTACAGTCAGATGATCGTTTGGAAACTGATGATGAGGAGGAGGAAACAGACGATAGTGACGATTCCACGCTTGAGCGAACCGGCGCTGCGAGGTCTGCTGCCTCGGGGATGTTTGCAAGAATCAACGAACAAATCCGAACCGGCTTTGCGAGGTCTGCTGCCGTGGAAGTGTTTGCAAGAATCAATGAACAAATCCTGCCTAGAAATATAATTGCTATGCTCAAGAAGTGGAATACATTTCGCCACGCTGACGCAAACCTGCTGAAAACATCACTCTGTGAACTACATGTTGATGATGCCATGCCAGTTCACCTTAGTAAGCACAACACAGTGCTGGTGTTCGCAAAGCTGTCCGCCGATGTTATTGTTGTGAGGGCCTACCACGTGCAGCCGCCCAAGCAAGCCGTAACGACGTGTCCCAGTGGCAAGCCTCTGACTGTGGCCGTACCGCAGAGCTCACTCTGTGTTCCGCTGAATGTCGTCACGTCCGATACCGTTCTGAAGCAGCTGGCTGCCCTGCAACGCCACAACTTCGCTCACCTCCGGAGCAAGTCACGTGCAGCTCGTGACGACGACGACGATGATGTACCATCACCTCGTTTTGTGTTTGAGTGGTTACTGGGTGTCTTAGATGCCCTCGGCTTTGCTGACACGGTGACACAGGCGGTGACCAAGAAGATACGTGACAGGGTGGAATTCTCGTCGACATCTTGCAGTGAAGGCGACGAGGTCTGGCGGCGAAGGAATGCTGATTGGCTGGCGTTCAAGTCTGTTCTCCACTCGACCCTGGTGTGCTGTCACGGTGTACAGAACGGTACTCTGCTCTACAAAACCGCCATGCTCCGATTCATGTTCGTCTTCACTCGGCATCCGCTGTGCCAGCAGAACAACTCTGATGACCTCTTGCAGCAGGTCCTGTGCAAGATCAGCCGCCGTATTGCCAAACTGGATGCTCTGCTTGACTCCACACCAGGGACAGAGTTCACACACCACGTCCTCGACACTCTGCAAGCCCTGACTGAAGGTGTCGAGGAGCTGAATCGGAAAGCGCTCACCAGCTGGAGCGACGAAGTGAAGGCTCATGAACAACAGAGGGTGGCTAGACTCTCACCAAGTTGTTGTCCATGCGAGGATGACACACACTTGCCACTGAAGGCATTTGCCAGCAAGCTAGCGCTTATGCTGGATGGTGCGAAGAAGCTTGGTGATGGCTCATTTGAGTGGAGGCGAGGATCGATAAGACGCGATGAAAACGGCGACCGCACCATGCTTAGTACGCTGGAGGAGGAGGACCACTGTGTCACGCACGCCCAGGCCAACTACATCATCCGTGACTTTGAGAATGACGTGTTTGACCGGTGGGAGCGCCGCCAGGAAGTGCCCATAGACCTGGAGAAGGTGCGGTGCGACTTGAAGACGTATCGAAACGTACTGGTCGGTACCAACAAGGCGATATCTCGTACCGTCTGTGACTCTCCGGAGCGTGTCAGCCGTGCACTGCTCACGGGAGCTGTTCTCGCTGCCCTGTGTGACATGCACGTAACGGAGATCTATCCTGACCTGACAGATCACCTGACAGACGTGCGTGAAGACCTCCTCGACGCCATACTGGTGCCGGACAAGCGGCAGCTGAACATCCTGGCACAGGTGCAGGCGTACTTCCGCAAGCGGCGGCGTAACGCCAGATTCCGCTCGGGCCCGCTGGAGTACAACCACGCCCGGCACGAGACCTACCAGCCATGCAGCGTGTCGCTCTCTGTACGCTTTGCACAGCATAGCTCAGCCATGACCACTCAGCTACAGGAGGTCGATGCCGCTGAACAGAAGCGACAGAAGGAGCACGAGGGAGTAATCATGGAGCAGCTACGCAAGATGGAAGCGGATGAGCGACTCCTGGAATCCATGGAACACACGTATACCTGGCGTAAGAACGTCCGCGGGGAACCTACCAAGGTGCATGATCCTGCCTGCAGAGCATGTGAGCTGGGCGCTCACATGGAGAAAAGAACGGAATCGGTATACATATCCAGACTTCCCACTCGACCGCACCAGCAGCGGGCGGCAATATTTGAAGCGTGCATCCCTTCCAAGATTGCCCAGTGGCGAGACACGATCTACTACTACGAGAATCTGATGATCAGACTCGTGTGCGGCCATGATGCTGAGCGGTTCCAGCAGAGGAGTTGTAAATGCTGCTGGCGCAGTTTCATCAAGCCAGGCCCAGCACTGGACCTGCAACTCTTCATGACTTCAAGTGGACATGACAGCCATAGCGATGCGTACAGCGTGTGCCTAGGCTCAACACGCGGCATCAAGCATCAGTCTTTGCCACTGCGCTACCAGAAAGTAGACGATTTCGTCAAGCCGTGCACCCTCAACCAGGTGATGTGCGTGGACGGGATCCGCATAGACAAAGTGGACGTATCCTTTGAGGATGTGCAACGCTGCTGCTCACGACGCACGGAAACTGCATCGCTGCAAACGTTCGTGACCGGCACCAGGCACCAGCAGAGTGAAGTGATTGCCTTGCAGTCGCAATGCCCGGCCAGTTTCAGTCACAACGAGTTTGTTGCGTTTGGCAGCCTGCGAGCCGGCGAGAGGCTGCAGTGGCACAATATCTTGCGTGGCATACACCAGCGCACACTCGTGCTGCACAACGCCGACACCTACACACTTCTACAGCAAGCGGTGTGGCAAGCAGGCAGTGCTCAGTTCGGCAGCTCTCTGCGAGCAGCTCATCAGCCGTGCATCGATACCGGCTTTGTGCGCGAGATGGTATCCGAGCTCAATGCCGTTCTGGACAGCGTAGCAGACAGCTGGCAACATGATCTCACACTGGGGTCGGTGGTACTACTCACTAACCGCATGTACGACATCTACCGCGACTGGGACTCCGCAGACGTCGTCCAAGTAGCTCATCTGCAAGCCGTTCTGCAGCGCTGTCGCCACCTCGCAATGCGCTGGATACGCCAAGTCAAAGAAATACTTTACGCCGATAGTGGCGACGCACGTCAGACGGCCGCGGACAACGCTACGCTGCCGGCCAAGATCGCCAGGATTGCGCGGTATGGCCTGCTGACGTACGTGCATGCAGTCAAACTGGACGACGACGAGGAATCCTTGCCACTCTATATCTGGTTGTACTTGTCGACGGTGTACTGCGAGAATGTGGCGGATCACCGCAAGGACAGTGTTGCAGAATTCCTGTCCAATATCGTCCTGGATCAACACGATGATTTTGTTCGTGTCATTGAGAGTGGCTTGGAGGAGAGTGATGAGTGTGGAATGCCGTTTGATGAGCTGGATAGCTTTGTTGGTGAAGTGTTCGCGCCTGGAGAGGCCTGTCGCTACGAACTCCGTGCTGAGTCCATGTTATGGCTGATCGTGGGCTGGAAAGTCCAGGACATCACCGAGAGTGTAATCGACATCAACTTGAGGACTGGCCAGCTGTTCGTTGACGGCAAACCACAAGGATCGCTGCCGGATGGCATTCGGAAGCATAGCACGTACAAACGTCACTTCGGCTCGTCCGGCGTGCACGGTTGTGTCAAACCGTTTCCAAGTCCCCGTGGCGAGTCCGGCTACATCACGGAGAAAACAAACGGCCGCCAGTTTGTCTTTGCTCAGGTAAAGTCGGGAACATCCAGGACAAGGAGAAGATTGGACTTGCGCCGCTGGTTAGAAAGGCATGTGGCCGAGGATTTCCACAGCGACAGTGATGATGAAATCGACCCGATGCCGCCTGTGTCATGGATGCACTGTGCCACTCAACTTCACGTCTACGAAATCACCGGACGTCAGCAGCTTCAGCTCATCCCCGCTGATTGGTTCAAGACAAATGACACCTATGATTTCCAACTGAGCTTACTAGACACGTACAGTGTGTGGCTGGATAGGAGGGGATTGTCTCTGCTCTTCCGACCAATGCTGGTGAAGGATTTCACCAATGATGTTCACTGTCTGGATGTGGCCTTCGAACTAGACCTGCTCAGCCGAAAGCTCAATCCAGCAGATCCATGTCCGCCGGGAATTCCTGTCGGTGTCACCTTGCTGGACAACCAGTGTGCTCTGGCTGAACAGCTCATCAGTGTCTTGTCTCCACTGCAGCGAGAGGAGTACATGGAGTTGTGGCTCAAAGCCGATCAGGACGTGCTGGTGCGCATGCCACGACTGGGCTTGTCGTTCAACTACGCAATCAGTGGCGGTGAGTCGCGGCTGGAGAGCGTGGAGCATCGAGGTTGGCTGGTGGACACTGACCAAGCCATTGGTACTCTGCTTGGCCTGCGCAACTACCTCGTGCTGACCGAATGCAAGCATGAACGCAGTGCGGGTGCCGAAAAGAAGCGCTGCATCATAGTACCACATGGAGCAGGTATGCGTAGAGGCAGGCAGCATTATCTAGACACATCACTTGTTGTACCGGTGCTGATCGACAGCGACGCTCTGCGGAAGCCGCCGTTCTTCCGCTATGAGCTCAACGCCAGCTTGCGACAGCTGACGGGCCCGTTTGATAGAGCGGCCTGGCTGTTTCTGGCTCTTCTGCATGCGGTCACGTCGACCACAAATCCAGACCCATTCACCGGTCTGACGGGTCTGGAGGCGGCTCTCAATATCTTACAATCCGCCCGCTGTTGGTCATGCCAACCGTACGATGACAGCACACGCAAACTGCTCCAAGACGTTCGCAGACTCTCACCCAAGCGCTCGCCCTATCCCGAGAGGAACTTCATTGGTCAAACGGTTCAGTGGCCACCAGGTCTCAGCTCATACTCGGCATCAGATGCGTATGCTATTCAAGTTGATCGGCTTCTGAAGCACAGCAAGCAGCTTTCGTTTCTTTTCGACTCAACGCACAGTGCCTCACAATCTTCCGAAAAGCAAGACAGTAGAAGCGGGCAAAGTGAGAAGTGCTCGCCCGAGCTGTTTCTGTCCTGCCAAGCGTATTCACTGCATTGTGCAGGCTATCCACTAATGGCACAGCTTCAGGACCATCCGCAGAACGTCACTTGCCCAGTGTCAGCCGCTGCCTGTTCCACCGTCGCATCCTGCTTCCCGGCGTCATGCAGTCAGCTGTCGCGAGTGCAGCAGGTTGCCTCGATGATTGCTACCAGGAGATGTGTGCTGGAATGTATCCCCAGCTACGATGTGCTGCACAAATCGCTACTCAGTTTGGGGAAACTATCATCAGCAACAGCAGCAACAGCTACAGGAACAGCAGAAATACCAAGAGCAGCAGCAGCAACAGGAACAGCAGAAACAACAAGAGCAGCAGCAGCATCAGTGGCAACACCAAGAGCAGCAGCATCAGGGGCAACACCAAGAGCAGCAGCAGCATCAGTGGCAACACCAACAGCAGCAGCATCAGCAACAGAAATCACGGCAGCGGTCAGTTTCATAGATTTCTTGTCCCCTGTGCGGATGACCAACACGGGTGCATGTGACAGCTGGGCCCATGTGGTATGCGGCCACGCTGGCGACGATGTTGAAGCGGATGATGATGATGATGATGATAATGATGATGAAGAAGATGACAGCAGTGTAGCCGCACGCAACCAAGGACTGCGTCACCAGTTTATGTATGTGCACCAGCTCATCAATGACATCCATGCCGAGAGAGACACGGGAAATTCTGAACGAGGACGCACTCCAGGCAGAGTTGGAGCGGCCCGGCGTCCACACACCAGCATGACAGAGAACGAGCTCGAGCTAATGTTGCGCTTGTCATTCCTGGATTATCTGCTGAATGGTGATGACAAGCTCTTAGAGTCATCTCCTGATGTGAATAGTGACTTGGCAAGTCCGAGTACCAACGCAGTGTTGATCAATACCCTCATTGCGTTGCATTGCGCCGGCAAAGCAGTGATCCTCCCCGCGTCTACGTCGTTCCCCGTGAGCGCACCTGTGCTTTCACCTCGAGACTTTGTTGACAACTTCACCAAGACGAGCACAAGCGTTGATAGCGTCACTTCTGGCAGTGCTGCAGGTAACGTGGCTGATGCTGCACAAACTCCTCGTGCAGTAGTTACACCACAAGAAACCAAGGCAGCCAAAGAAGCAAAGGCAGCCGAAGAAGCCAAGGCAGTCCAGGAAGCTAAGAAAATCCAAGCAATGGTGGAGGAAGACTGCCGCCAAGGCTATGGCATTGTAGCTGTCGCAGTATACGGATATGAGCAAGAATCACCTGCCATTCCCTCCATCCGCTTTGCCAAACATAGAGGCACGCTGCCATTCGACAAGCCAGGGTACCATCAGGAGTTGATGCGCCAACTGCAGCAAATCAACCAGCATAACATTCTCTGTGAGTACTTGCATCAGATTGCCTTAGCTCTCAGCAGACTTCCCAGGCTGACGACGAATGCGAGGCACCGTGTCGTCACCAGCTATACTCATGGAACTGCATGTCCGTCAAGTCACCCACTATCGGTGTGCTATAGCACCGAGCACTATCCGGTACTTGTACGCCTTGCCTCAGCCTGGCAGTCAGATGCACAGCGTGTGCACCAAACCAACGGTTCACTCGGACAAGTCAGCGACTCTGTTGCAGCATCGTCGTCGAGTACTTCACCGGATAGACTGCTGTCGTTGCAGCATGCAATGGAGTCGTGTTTGAACACGTCGACACACGACAACTCTGCTTGTGCTGCGTCCGCAGGCGAGGGTGACACTGTACACGATCCCATTGCCCGGGACACTCTGGAAGATTTGCGAAGAAGCACCGAGGCCCTAGTGCAGATCCAAGCCGCAAGTCCCAGGAGTTCCAACTCAAAGTCCGAAGATGACCAAAGGTTGGATTACTACGATGACACGGTGCGAAGGTTGCAGTACAGTCAGCTGGAGATCGCCGAGAGTTGGCAGCAGCTGCAAACAGCAATGGACGAGACGTGTGGATTATCGTACGGTGCCAAGGCGATGCGTGCATCTGGACTACTTCTGCGATGCCATCCTCTCACCTTGTACCCAGATCTTACCGGTCGCACTGGACAAGTCTGTCACAGCAGACCATCCACGATGTTTTCTGTCAATGAGCAGTTCTCTGTGCACATGATGTCTTGCATCGGAGGTCTTGCCATGCTGCAGGTTCACAATCAACAGCTAACACGGATGCTATCGTATCTGACGTCCTCAACGGGCAACTTCGACCGCTTCCTTGCTGAGCGTCGCCATGGAGCGCATTTGAACTGGTCGCCAAGCCAACGCCCTGCTTGGCTGCTATTCGAGTTGGAGAACAACATATGCATTCGGCCAAAGCAGGTTATCGTCGCTATGGAGATGATGCAGCCGAGCGCGGCCGCGAATGCGGTGATGCAGCTAAATATGGGAGAGGGCAAGACCAGTATCATCATGCCGATTGTTGCCGCGGAACTTGCAGACGGCAACAGTTTGGTACGGCTTGTTTCACTGACCTCACTATTCAACACCAGCTATAATCAGCTAGTCTTCAAACTGGGTGGATTGCTAGATCGCCGCGTCATGTCGTTGCCATGTCGTCGTGACATTGCATTATCGGCGAAGCAGGTGGATACGGTGCTCACCTGCTTGAAACGTTGCCAGCGCAACGGTGGTATCTTGGCAACTGTTCGCGAGCACATTCTCTCCATGCAGTTGCAGTTTGTTGAGAGCTGCTGCAAGCAGGCAGTAGACGTAAGCGAGAGGCTCCGCGAGCTCCTACAGTACACGTCTGACAACGCTCGTGATCTCCTTGACGAGGCTGATGAAGTTCTCCACCATCGCTTTAAGCTCGTGTACCCGATTGGTGCGGCAGAGTATCCAGACGGCGCTGACCTGCGCTGGAGAATGGCCGAAGCTGTTCTGAGCAGCGTGTGCAGGCACAGTGCAGACATCCACACCCGATATCCAACTGCCATCAGCTTTGTAGCGAAGAATCGTCACCAGTTCAGTCCCATTCGCATCCTGCAGTCGTCGGATCAGGCAGATTTCTACAGCGAGCTGTGCAGTGCTGTGCTGGAAGACCTGTTAGATGGGCAGGTTCTTCAGGGTGTTCTTGTTGACTGTGATATAACCGCTGGACTCACCAGCATGCCAGACGCCGATAGAACGTGGCTGAAGGAATTCATTCTCCGTAAGAATCTCGACGCAGATCACATAGGACGATTCAATTCAATCACGCCTGCTGCGCTGCGGCCTGCTGTTCTCTGCCTCAGCGGCTTACTCTCCCACGATGTTCTGCTGACGTGTCTGAAGAAACGATACCGTGTGGAGTACGGGTTACTGGCCAGCACAGAGCAAGGATCCATGATGCAGGATCATGGCATTCAAACGGCCGTGCCGTTCCGCGCCAAAGACGTGGCAGCCGAGCGCACGGAGTTTGGTCATGCGGACGTGGCCATATTACTGACACTGCTCAGCTATTATCACTACGGCCTGACGACGGAGCAGGTTTCCATGGTGATGCAACGTCTGTGGGCCGATGACAGCGAGTCGAGTAACGCCGTGTACGACTCTTGGGTAGCCGCCGCAGACGTCGGTGATGTCCCCGATAGGATCCGTGTGCTGAGTACAATCAACCTGGCCGATTACTCCTGTTTCCGACTGCACGTTTACCCATTCCTCTCGCTCCATTGCGACGTGATCAACTTCTACGTCAATCACTTCGTCTTCCCGCACCACGTCAAGGCATTCCCGCGGAAACTCGTCGGCAATGCTTGGGATTTGGTACTTGGTCCACGGGGGAAACCGTTGACAGGGTTCAGCGGCACGAACGATACTCATCATCTTCTGCCGGGGTCGAATCTTCAGCAGGACCTGGCCCAGTTGCTGCACACCAACGCACACGTGTGCAATCTGTTCCTGTCACCGGAGAATGATCGCTATCGCCGACTGACAGCGTTATGCAGTGGACGCAAATTGCTGAGCGAACTGGAGGCCATCTCAGACAGTAGTAGTGCGCCCAGCATGCTCATAGATGCAGGGGCGTTCATACTGGACTGCAGCAATCTACAGGTGGCAAAGAGCTGGCTTGCACTGCGCTACGACAAGCAGGCCGCGGTCTACTTCGACGCTCGCAATCAGCTGTGCGTGGTCGGCCGCGGAGCCTCGCACTCCAGCAGGCTGGAGCTGAGCCCGTTTGCCGACAATCTTGGAAGCTGCTTGGTGTATCTGGATCACTCGCACACACGCGGCACCGACCTGCCGATGCCCGTTGGAACGCACGCAGCAGTCACACTGGGCAGGGGGCTGAGACGGGACGAGCTGGTGCAGGCGTGCATGCGCTTGCGGCTACTCGGTGCCGGTCACTCGCTCAGTTTCTGGGCACCACCTGAAGTGGACCTGTTAATCAGAAAGCAGTGCAAGCTGGGCGCGGAGGACACCATTCACAACCAGCATGTTCTCCTTTGGTCGTTTGCCAACAGCATAGCGACAACAAAGGAGGGCTTCTACTCATGGGCATGTCAGGGTCTTGCTTTTGCCCGGAACCAGTGCGCAAGAACTAGAGCTTCAACGGCTTCAAGCACATACAGGAGTTTGGAACAGCAACAGCAGCAGCAGCAGCAGCAACAGCAGCAACAACAGCAGCAGCAGCAGCAGCAGCAGCAGCAGCAGCAGCAGCAGCAACAACAGAGACAGAAACAGAAGCAGCAGCAGCAGCAGCAGAAACAAGAGAATCAACAGAAGCAGCAAAGTGCAGAAATGACGATTCTTGCACGCGAGTTCCCCATGAGCGAAAGCACCACTCTTGAGCAGTTGTATGGTCGAGAGCGGCGACTGCATACTATTCAGGAACTCATCACCGCACAAGCCGAGCACTATCCCGCGGATAGTGTTGAGAAGATCTCCAGGGAGTGTCAAAGGTTTGTTCCGGCGGTCAAGCTCTATTCTAATCGTTTTGATGAGGAGCAGGAACGTGAAATGGAGAAGGAAACCGAGTCGGAGCGCCATCGTCAGGAACTTCCCAGTGTACTGCACCATCAGGAGGAGTGCAGTCGCGACCTTGAGTCTCTTGTGTGTACTGGTGTTGTGCCGGCAACGCTGCCTCGGTACATGCAGCCACTGTGGCAGTGCCTCCGTGACACCTCGTTGGCGCAGTGCGCAGAGCATGCCGCAGTGATTCGCAGTCGAGACCGGAGCCAGCACCTGTATGCAACGCGATCCTTCAGCTGCACCATCAAGCTAGCAGCAGGGCCACCTAACACACATGCTACTTCAGCTCTCTCCTCCAGCAGAGCAGCCAATACCTGTGTAATGGATAAGTTCCTCAGGCCCGTGGAATGGCTGCTAGTCGTGCGTAACAAAGACAAAGACGATGACGAATACGTTATACTTGTTAGCCCACTAGAAGCCAATGAGCTGTTGAAACAGCGACCGTGGGCGCTGAACGTGTCGCTACACGTTTACGCTGTGCCGCTGCATCGCAAGCAGCGTATCCTGAGCGATGCGGACATGACTGTGTTTGGAACGCCGCTCACTCGCCTGTGCCTCAACTCGGCACACCTGCAGAGCATATTCGCCGAGATCCTATGCTACAGCGGTGGTCTGTTCTTTGGTGTGGAGACGCAGGATGTGCACGCAACGCTGGCTCACGTGTGTCGTGTTCTGGGCATGGCATCTACCTCAGAGCAGCACGATAGAACCGGTGTAAAGCAAGTTGCCCGCACCGGTCAGCCAGCCACCTCGTCAACACCCGGCCAGCACATCAGTGGTTTTGCTGGCCTTGTGAGCGCTCTGCTGCAGCTGCTGCGCACAAGAAGGAGTGTGCATGTTGGTCACATGGGTGCACTCGTTGTCCGAGGCACTTGGCAGGAGCTGCTGACGGACATTGCCGGCTGAAGCACTGTGTCAGCGGCTTAGGCAGTGTCACAAGGGTAAGCGACATTTCTGTGTTTTGTGTGACTTCAATTTTTCTCAATCCAGGCTCTGCCACCCTGGTATAATGAGGCATGGTGGTGGCCTGACACGAGCGGTGGCGGGCGGGCGGGCGTGTGAATGTGTGAGTGCGATGCAAAAATAGAATGCATTCGGTGTAGCTGGATCCATATTATGTGAAAGATGAAGCCAAATATTTGCTTAGTACGGTACAACCAGTTAGCACTCAGATACGCTAATCAATGTTGTGCCATTTTGTGCAACGTGTCACAGTCTCTCACAACTATACCATGTACATCACAATGATGTCACACTGTGTGTCACTTTCCACGTTCACTGCTGCTCATTTCAATGACTCTATGCTGTACATCTGGAGCACGGTGTATGTACATGTACCGCTATGTTAGATTCTTTGTAATTAGCGTCCAGCCTGTAGCACCCTAGCAGTCCTTGGATAAAATCCATTTGGTGGTGTATATACTTCAGAAGTTATTTCTTCACCCGCCTATGGCAATACCGTAAAATTCCGTTAATAAGCCCCGGGCGTATACTTTGCAGAGCGTCAAAACCGGGCGTATATTTGGGCATGGGCTTATTTTAGGGCATGGGCGTTATTTCGGACGCAATCTGCAGAAGATCAATCTATCAGCAACCCACTAGTTTCAGTGAACCACCATTCACACTGAGCGTGGTGCAGGTACATCAAACCACAGCTGGAAATTTGGTCGTAACCAAGAATGTAGCGATAAATTACAGATTTGACAGGTACACCACTTGTCTACTTTACGTCCTGGGCTTATTTCGGGCATGGGCGCTAAAACGGACTTGAACTGTACACCGTCTAAAACTGGGCTTATTATCGGACATGGGCGTTATTTAGGGGGGGGGGGCTTATTTACGGAATTTTACGGTAATGTAACCAAAAAAATTTTTTTTCACGGTTCGCGTGAGACTCGGCTGGAAGCCGGGTTTTCCGCATCCGTAGGAACGCCACCACCCTTCAAGGATCAAGGCGCAGATGCAGCTCCTAAAGCGGTGGGAGGTGAGTAGATCAGCTCACCAGCAAGTGGTCAAAGACCGAAAATCCAAGACAGGGGCATAATTATGAAATTGCCAGTAATACTCGGACTGATGGGGCACATCGGGTCTGTTTGAATGTGTTGTCGTCGGGTTGGTTATTTAATGCATGCACGCATGCGCGCAGTAGTAGCGCAGCCCGTGCAGTCCACGCTCGATCCGTACACAGCGGCACGCCTAAAGCACAGCGCAGCACCAAAAGGGACGCGTCGAGGTCAGAAGGACAACAGTTTGGTGTTCATTGCTAGTGCTTCTGGAGGTCAGAGTACAACAGTTTTGCCTAGGAATACTTCAGCACATGCAGTATGAACACATTACTGTCATGTAGGCAGGTGGGCAACATGGAGCTGTAGTACCAAGGACATGACGCACAAGAGAGGACCGGGAAGATGACGGAGGATTCACTCTCGGGCTGGCCATTGCTGTCACCGTCGGGGCAAGGCGTGTCTGCGCATGTTCAAGTGTGACATTTTTGTTCAGTATATCGTGTGGGGTCACTGAGCGCGTGATGACCGCAATCTCAACCGCTATTGGCGTAGACCGAGAATGCGAGGTTGAACGCACGCGTATACAGTCATACCTCGTTAGGACGAACTTCAAGGGACGAACACGTTTGTTTGTCTTATCCAGAGTTCTTCTTATCCAGAGTTGACAAAAAATTGATATGCATATCATACTCAATCTGATTATGCGTATCACATGGATTGTATTTATTTGAAGGGGCATGCTGTGGCAAATGTAAAACATTTTTTCATAACATAACCTAGCAACAGGTAAGTACAATGTGCAACGAATTCATGACAGCATGTCCCCCACCTTGTAACATGTGTTGCGAGTGCAAGAGGCCTCGACTATCGGAAAGACTACAGCCAGCGGCGTATCCACGGAGACCGAACTATCGGAAAGACTACAGCCAGCGTATCCACGGAGACCCAAAGTTTCTACTACACGCTGATTTTGTTCAAATCACGCTTGAAATTAGTTTGTCTTCACGAAAGTTTGCCGTACAGGAGTTTGTCGTAAACGAATAATATTTTGACTTGATATGATGCCTGGCCAACCATAGGATTGGCCCTAGTTCGTACTAAAGGGAAATTCGCCTTATCAGTGTTTGTCCTAACGAGGTTTGACTGTAAATTTAAACACTTACAGTTCTCTGCTTGCACGATGGCCGACAGAGTTAGCTGTGCCAGCGAACGTCAGTATCTGAAAATTGTGATTGTTCTTTTCTAATGTGCTTTTGTCCTCTCCAGGAGCAAATGGCTTTTTCTTCGCGTTGGCTCTCCTACACGGCTGCTGCTGCTGCTTCAAAGCGCACGGTCTGACCAAACTGACCCGGGCACTGATCCCCTTTAGGCAATGCAAGACTGGCCTATCGATTCGTGCCGGAATGGCATCAGAGTAGAGTGTAAAACCCGAGACTGCTGTATCACGGCATGGCGTTCAGGACATCTACATGTGCTTTTTTTAAAATTTATTTACAAGTATATTCATGATCCTGGCTTGGATACGCTCACATTACGGTGTACATCACCTTCAGCTCACCTGACCTTGTTTACCTTTTAGACATTCTCCGATAACAGATTCCGTTTTCACGTAATTTGCCGACGCTGCTCTTTCACTTTAATAATGATATGTGCCGTGAGTTTGAAGCTGCCTGTAATAATCGATGTATCTGCCTATATGGAGTGTATGAACTAGGCCTGTATAGAATGTGTACTAATTCATACACAATCATAGTCACTGCGACGTTAGCCTGCCATCACTGTACACCAGCAGTGGTAGATACTTGAGACTTGAATTTCACGATTTCCTTACCAATTACTTCTTTCAAAATACTTCAAAGTAGAAAATAGCATTCTTTGTATGATATACCCATTTGTCCTTTCCGATATTATTGTTACATTTTACTATCGGCTCGGTATCCGAGTTTGCATGATAATATCAATCATTTTATGTTCACGGCGGCGTACGGATTCGCAGTTTCAGTCCTGGTCAAAGCTTGATCGTTATCGTTGTCTATGTAGTGTCTGCCAAGCATTGTCATAGCATTTGTACTCCGCGTGCTTGAAAGTCCATGCCATCGCTATCATTGTCCTTTTGGCCTACTAATTTCCTGTGCTTGTATTAATGGAATTTGTCATGTTACTTCTAATAACACCATGACCTCTTTTGCTCTCAAGTTTAGAATGGAGAGGTCTTCAAATATCTCTACTGTATATTCTGGCTGCATGTGTATGTGTGTGTGTGTATGTATGTGTGTATGTGTGTGTATGTGCGTGTGTGTGTGAGCGTGGGTGTGAGCGTCTTTCTTCTCTTTCTCATTCTCCTAGCTCTTCTTTCATTCTCCTGGGTGGTTACCAACAGCCAGTGTATGCCGAGTATGTGGTGTGGCATGTGTGTGTCAAAAAAAAAGAATGAAAAAAATGGAAAAATGGAAAATGAAAAATGGGGATTCATTCGCCGGAAAAAAGCCACTTCAATCAGCTATGTGGTGGATACCAGGCTAAAATTAGTGGCGGTCAATTCATCAGCCTTGCAAGCTGTTGAATGGTGTAATGGTGTAATCCCAGCACAAGTTCTATGTCTAACATAGCTGTTCGCTATCATCACTTCCGCGATGGACATGTCTGAGTCTGAGTGTGTGCACGCTGGTGTGTGTGCCCCCCCCCCCCCATGTAGACCTGTCAAAGGCTGCCTCCTTGCCAAAGCATTTTCATGTACTAATAGCTGTAGGCCTCGTTGTGGCTCTAATACTGTCCGATGTGTCCTTCCTATAGCTATACTATAGCTGTCATGGTCGACGTTGTCGGTACGATAGTCGAGGCCTCCTATGCTGGCAAAACATGTTACAAGGCGGAGGACATGCTGACCATTGCACATTGTACTTACCTGTTGCTGGGTTATGTTATGAATTTTTTTTACATTTGCCACAGTATGCGCCTTCACATAAATACCATCCATTAATTTTTTGTCAGTTCTGGATAAGAAGAACTCCGGATGAGACAAACAAACTTGTTCGGTCCCTTGAAGTTCGTGCTAACGAGGTTTGACTGTATGTCAATAGTATTCTCAGTTCTCATTATGTGTTAGATATCTACTTACATGGTTACCCCAGTCGTCTTGTGCTAGTCTTGATCTGGTCTATTTTGATCTTGTCCACCACTGTTGTTGGAAGAGACTACTGGTATCTGTGCGTATATACGTTCATCCAGTGCATTTGCGAATTTGCGTGCTTCCTTTTGCATGCAACGCTGTCCGCAGAAATTCAAATTGGACTATGCACCACTTGTGCGGAGTCACTGTCTTCCTCCTCGTCCACTGTCTTCGCTTTGTAAGACTTGCACGAGAGGCAAACTGCTTCAAACTGGCCAGCTTTTCTGCTGCTGATGCACCGGACATGTGCTTCTGAGCAGAACTCCTTTCTACTGCAGTACTGGCATGCATTCGACCACAGTACTTACTTGCAGCCAGGACCTTTCGTCCATTTCCTTTTGAGCTTGCTGGGTTCTGCTAGTTGGGTCTCTGGCCCCGCACATGTTGCTACACTAGGTCATGACTCATGGTTCACTGTTGTGCAAGTAAGTAATTACGTCATGTAGATCTACTAGTAGTCAGTTAGTCCAAAACTGATACCTACAATGCTGGCAATTGAAATCCGACCCCCTAGCGGTGCGCTAGCTGCGTTAGCGATTCGTACGAGACGCTAGGGGGTCGGATTTCAGTTGCCAGCACTGTACATGGCAACTGCCTTTGGAGAGAGCGTCCGCCACAGTGTCAACATCTGTGGACTCGAAACAACACAACTTACTTACTTCATGTCCTCTCCCAGCCGACTCATGGAGGTGGAAACCGATTCGTCCGGAAGCTGCTTTTAAAACTGACGAAGCGTATGCCCCTAGCCCTCTGATCTGATGTGGGAATAGACGGTCGAAAGTGGCCACACAGTGACTCCGTGAATGCTTTGTACTTGTCACCAGGAATGGGAATGACCAGGCCCTTGACAATCCTTCTGACATTGAAGGCCGGCGAGATTCAAGAAGAGCAAGATACTTCTTGTCTTCTGGATCAGTCACTTTGCAGATTTTTAAAATTATAATCATTGTCGTCTTCTAGCCAAAGATCGAGTCTGCACCCGTATCTCCACCATAGCCATGAGAAAATGTTTTCGGAGATCGTCCCTTTGCCATAGGCATAGCGTCCAATTGCCTGAGCTGTTCACTTTGACAGTGTACTCACTACTGCGCTGGCCAGAATGCAATGATTACTAGGGAGCAGAATATCAAGGGGCCATACACCAGTGTGGATGTAGCACATTATGAAGGTATGAGTACGACACACGCCGTGGTGCGTGGAATGCAACATAAGTATTATGACACTTAGGTGGTGTAATAAAGAATACCGCAGTGATTATCAGTTATCACCACATAATAATTATATCATTGCCATTGGTCATGAAAGCAACCTGTCTTTACATCGATCTGCTTCGTGGCAAATCACTATTGAAGTTTAGCACCATACATGTACACGTACATGTAGATGGTACATAGCGAACAGAACACGGTAATGGCGTAAACACATTCGCGAATATAGAGCTCAGAATCGCAGCAACGGAAGCCATCTGGAAAGATTTCATGGCATATTCATGCGAGAATCCAATACTGTTAGGACCACCGCATCTCCTGTTAGAGTCACCGGTAACAATGCGGATCGCGGGAAAAGAGGTTACAGAATCGGCGTTGAAGAATAAAGAGATTCTCCAAATCTACTGGAGGACTTACGTTACGCCTACAGTAAAGCATTCATAGCCTAAAATGTAGGTTTGCAGTAGGGCAAACCGTAGTTATCGCCGTGGACCGAGCAAGCCGGTGTCATATAGTAGAATGACCCCCGTAGTGGAAGGCCCCCCCGGTCATTGTACTATATAGTAGATTGCCCCCGGGGTCACTCTACCATATAGTACAACGACCCCCCTCGGCCGCTATTTTAGTAGAGGTCCGTGAACTCCTGAACTCCTGAATAATCCAAAAGGAGCAAGGAGCACACAGAAAACGCAAAGGAACACTGAACTTGCAAACTTTCTTCCAACTCCAAAACAAAAACAATCCAACACAAGGTGGGATGTTCATGTCTCCGAAAGAGGAAAAGTGCGCGACCTATGTACAAATGTTGTGGACTTTTCACCACATATTCCCACAATCAAGAGTACAATATATGTAACATAACCCCGGACTCTTGCCACAATCCATAATGTCCACGTGGAATCTGTGGTGTAAACTCCATCCCTTTCTACCTGCACTTGCGAAACGACAAGTCTGGTGGACTCTGTAGTAGAATGACAGGGGGCAATCTACTATAGTCTATATAGTAGAACGACCCCCCGGTCATTGTACTATATAGTAGAGTGACCCCGGGGTCACTCTACTATATAGTACAATGCCCGGGGGTCCATCTGCTGGGGGGTCATTCTACTATAGTACACCGGCCACGCGGCCGAGGCGGCGCAGCAACCAGCGGGGCTGTACGCACAGCCGCCCTGGCTGCCCCTTTCAGCATGGGGCGATCGCACGCGGGACCAAGGAGGTTGAGGGCACTCTTGTCTCTTTGCCCTTGCGCTCTTTGAGGTTTTTTTTTTTTGAGCAGCAATTACCTCGTGATATGCACATTTGCCAATGATGTCTATCCGCCTGTCACACGGTTGTGGCAGGCGTTCAAATACAAGCGCCCAAACCCCAAACAGTACTGTGCCTGGATATGTGTGTGGCTTGGGAGATGGGCGATAAAGAGTGGTTAACTTGAGGATGATACAGTGCTGGCACCTGAAATCCGACCCCTGAGCGGTGCGTTCACATTCTAGCGATCTCTATCAATTTCCGTAGTTTTACTATCCCGGCCGTGTTGGGTCTTTGCGATGTTTTTACTAAGGCCACAGCTTCCAACCATGACATGCAAAGCAGCGGTGCAGCATCGCAGGCATGAATCGTGGACGTGGTGACGGGGTCTGATGTGCTCCACCGACCTAGGCTAGGGTCTCGGCTTCACTGCACAGCAAACGCGTCGAAAGAAAACGGGGGGCTAATAATTATCGGGAGATGGGGGGGGGGGGAGAAGAAGAGAAGAAGGAGAGGGATCGAGAGAGCGATCGAGAGAGCGATCGATCGATCGATCGATCGAGAGAGAGAGAGAGAGAGAGAGAGAGAGAGAGAGAGAGAGAGAGAGAGAGAGAGAGAGAGAGAGAGAGAGAGCTGGGAGATAGAAGAGCACAGTGCTCTTGGTGATGGGGACTGCGAAGGATAGCAGGTTCTGGGACATGTGCATGAGAATCAGAATATTGGTGATGATGGCAGCAGGGTTATAAGGTAAGCAGCTGAACACTAACAAGAACAGGGAAAGCGTCGGCGAGCAGATTCAAAGTGCATCAGTAGCAGAGAGCCAGTCCTGAGCAAGAAGGTGACGGTACACCTTTTTCTGGAAGCTTTGCATGTGGGGCTGGGCGGGTGGGTGGTGGAACAGGTCTGGTGGCAGGGCATTCCACTTCGCAACGGTGCAAGCAGGCTCAAGTGTCGGATTTCAGTTTCCAGCAGTGTAGATGTCAAACAAGTGGCCTTCCTACTGAATAGCGGAGTAGGAAACGTTGACAATGAGGAATGACCTCACAAAATGGGGGTGTGAATGCTTCACCTTTATGCACAGCGGCGAGAAGTGCAAAGAAACACAGCGCTCTCCCGTGCAGACATTCACAGAGAATTGGATTGAGTTTTTTCTTTCTTCAGATTCTTGACGTTTTGTTCATTTTTGTTGTTGTTTTTTGTTTTGAAGTTGGTTGCTCCAACGAGGAGCACACGCTTCTTGCCGAACTTGACACTTGACTGACTCACGACTGCCATCTTGAGCAGGGAGTGGTGCTTTCTTTCAGGTTCGCCGAGCGGAAGGTGCGACGTGCTCCTGGTGTGCTCCGGATGGCAGTCGTGAGTCAGTCAAGTGTCAAGTTCGGCAAGAAGCGTGTGCTCCTCGTTGGAGCAACCAACTTCATGACATTACCGCCGAAGTCGCAACTTCTAAGTTCGTATTGTTGTCCCTCACGCGGACTTGCGACTAGTTGTTGGAGGTGACAGCGTTGTGAATAGCTATACTGGCTCTCAACGTCTGTTTAGCACAACTCCATGAGCGACTCTGACTCACGCTGCTACCTGGGGCTTCACGAGGTGTTTGTCGCGCT